GCCATAATATCACAGTTAGATTGCCGACGAGTGCCACCACTCCTAACACCCAAATACACACTCGGAGTATAGAGTTTGACATCAGGTCCTCGCAGGAGGAGAACTCGAGCTCATCGGGCGCTGGATTACAGGTCTCGACGTGTCGGGCCAGACAACAGAACCGGAACTCATCGGTTGTCCTATTAATTCATTTAATTATTTAACAATTGGTGCTTATTTGTCAATATTTATTTATAATAATAATAATTTATATTATTCTATTGATTATCAATTAAATGCATGTATATTTAAAATATTTTAGTGTTGTGTACGGAGAAGTAGTGTCCGTTTATTATTTGTATTTTGAATGCTTTCATTAAAGTGGCAATTGATCCCAAGAACTAAATGTTTACGATATTAATATTGAAATATTTTAAACGACAAGATATGATGTTTTAATTAAAAGCCTTTTAAATTATTATAAAAATGTTAAAAATAATGACTTAAAATGTCAATTAAATTGCAAAGTACAGTACATGTAAGGGTACACATTTCCTTCCTTGGTTAAATATAGACTTCAACATTATTTTCTGATTTCCATATTTAGAATTATGCCCAAATGATTTGATTTTAAATAAATAGCATACAAGTTCATGTAAATGCGAGCATGTACAATTGTCAATTGCACTGATTCTGTGTATGAGAACACAATTTCACTATGTCAGTAAAATAAGTTTAGTTATTTCAGTTATTTAATAAACAATGATATGAGAATTCTTAGAATCCGGGACAATTTGTTTGATTAACTTGTTTGCAGTGGCTGTCAATTTCACCCGGACTTTATTGGCATAAATTTGATACAAATCACAAACACTTAAAATTGTGATTATTGTATATAATAATTATATCAAATATTGCTGATAGCCTTAAAAGTGATTGTTTAACTGTTTGACAGAGAATTATATGGATTGATTGATTTCCAATTAAGAAATTGATAAAACAGGTATACAATACTTTAGTTCTATAGCAAATACAATATAAAAAGCAACACTCAATTAACGCAAACAATTTGTTTAAACAGCTTTTGCGAAAAGTTTCATTAAACATCACAAATAGTTGCAATGAAATTGTCGCTACTGTTACTGGCGGTGGGAGTGCTGGGAGCGCAGGCCGACTGGCAATTGGTGTGGAAAGATGAGTTTGACGGCACCCAACTTAACGACAACGAGTGGAACTACGAGGTCGGCGGCGGCGGTAAGTGTCTCTCCTAATGAGTCCACAAATTATAAACAATACGAAAAAAGGGTTGAATTAAAAATGAATTGATCCAATTGTATGGGCACAGGTTGGGGCAACAACGAGCTCGAGTACTACACGTCGCACAACGGCAACAACGCCCGGGTAGATAACGGCCATCTGACCATCAATGCCAAAGTGACTGATGAGGGCGGACGACACTTCACCTCCGCTCGACTCACGTCCAAACAGTCGTGGACTTACGGCAAGTTCGAGGCGCGCGCCAAACTGCCCAAAGGCAAGCACTTGTGGCCCGCCATATGGATGATGCCCAAAGACAGTGTCTATGGCGGATGGTATGTGTACATTATATTGATCATGGTACATCGTCGCATCATTTAACATGTTATTTAATTGCAACTAATAGGGCGGCGAGCGGTGAGATCGACATAATGGAAGCCAGAGGAGAGAGGCCGTCAATTGTGCAAGGTACCATTCACCATGGTGGCGCCTGGCCCAATAATGTTTGGCACGGCTCCGGCGAACACGACTTCGGCCGAGACTTTACCGCCGACTTCCACACCTTTACGCTGGAGTGGAATAACAATCAGATCATGTGGTCAGTCGACGGCCAGATATATCACACCGAGAATATCAATAAGAATATGTGGTNTAAAATATTTCAATATTAATATCGTAAACATTTAGTTCTTGGGATCAATTGCCACTTTAATGAAAGCATTCAAAATACAAATAATAAACGGACACTACTTCTCCGTACACAACACTAAAATATTTTAAATATACATGCATTTAATTGATAATCAATAGAATAATATAAATTATTATTATTATAAATAAATATTGACAAATAAGCACCAATTGTTAAATAATTAAATGAATTAATAGGACAACCGATGAGTTCCGGTTCTGTTGTCTGGCCCGACACGTCGAGACCTGTAATCCAGCGCCCGATGAGCTCGAGTTCTCCTCCTGCGAGGACCTGATGTCAAACTCTATACTCCGAGTGTGTATTTGGGTGTTAGGAGTGGTGGCACTCGTCGGCAATCTAACTGTGATATTATGGCGAACCAAATACCGGATCACAAACAAAGTGCACTCATTTCTCATCATTAATCTGGCGCTCGGAGACCTTCTTATGGGCATCTATTTGCTCATCATTGCCGGCGTTGACGCTCACTATCGGTAACCATTCATATCTCTTTTAAATGCTTTTGCTTTTTGCATATTATTTCTTAGAATTAAATTAAGCTATTTAAATATTGAAAATCTCTATTATTTTAAATGCAAATTAAGTATTTTTTTGTATTATTTTTCTTTTTTAATTAGTTTGCGATTTAATGTATTATTACACTATTTTTCTAAATGGCAAATTTACTAATGCTTAATTCACAAAATCCATCATAATAACTTTTAATTGGCTGTAATTAAAGCATTTATTAGATTTTGTTTGCATTGTTTGCGAATTAAATACTTTGCAATTAATAAAGATTAATTATTATTTTGCCTAATCTTTAAAACTCAATCCAAGTTAATATTACTTCAAATATATTTTGTTATAAAATTACATTTTATTTTATTTTATTTAATAGTAAATTATAATGTTGTCAACGGATAATAAACGATATAATTCTTTTGTTATTTAATATTTGTATAATAAATATGTTGTTTGATTAATAAGTCTTATATAGTTATAACGTATGGCAGTATATGTTGCGAAACAAAATCAGACATTTGATAGTTTACTTCACTTTTTCATACTTTTTTCTTCGTATATCTCAAGAGAGAAATGTAATCATTTCTTATCCACACTTCTATAAGAGTGGAAACTTTTCATTGAAATACACGTCAAATTTGTTATGTTTCAAATAATTGGGCTTAAGATTACCAACTTGCAAACTACTACTTGTACATACAATATAGCCATAAATGTATTGTTATATTAATAGTTATATTTTTATTTATTAAACAATTTTTATTGGTTTAAACTTTAAAGTAATCAACAATTGTTTAAATAAACAATCAATCTTTAGTTAAGAGAAGAATTAGATTTTGTTATCTCTGTTCACAGCCTTTTGAATAAATTCATAAGATATATATTTTTGGTTGAGATCGAGTGGTCTGACAACATGTCTATACACTTATGTAAACCGATATAACACTCGTCGGAGTAAACAGTTTAGGACTAACGGTGTGTCCATAAGGATAGCGAAATCGATATGAAGTCCACTCAATTGCATGATATTTATAACACAAATATTGAGACAACAATTTATTACCAAATTATTAAATCAACAAAATTAATACTATATTTTGCTTCTGATCTTTAAGTCAATTGTTAAGTAAAGTAAAGTATTATAACTGAAGAGTACTTTTACTATTGAATTATTGTTTTTTAGGAATTGTAAGGAATAGTGTTTTTTAAGATTTTTGTATTTTTAACCACTATTTTGCTATGAATAATGTGGTTTATAGGAGTGTTGAAAATGTAATAACATTTACGTTAATAATTAAGTTATTTATTATATGATAAAAAGTTAGTAAAAACCCATTCAAAGAAATCATTTGTTTGTCTACAGTTAATCTCATACTTATAGAGACAGTATTTAATGTCTTTATTACCAAATAATAGGTTTAATTAAATTGCGTAACAATTTCGCTGAAAATGATGGATATAAATAGGCTATTCACCAGATATTTAATCTCTCTCTCTCTCTCTCTCTCT